TGTGTGTGTGTGTGTGTGTGTGTGTGTCTGTCTCTCTCTGTGTGTGTCTCTCTGTCTGTCTGCCTTTCTGTCTGTCTGTCTCTCTCTCTCTCTGAGGGACCGTTAGTGGAGTCAGCTCACCTGGGAGCCTGAGTGTGAGGTTAATTAGTGATGTGGAAAAACAAGGTCAGGCAGAGCTGCCAAGGGGTTGAGCACAGGGAGCAGAGGCAGGAGGGAGGTGATCAGCCTTTGCCTCAGTCTGCATTCCTCAGCTGCCTCTGTTACTCAGGTACTGACAGCAGGCCCAGACCACCTTCACACAGGGCAGAAACAAGCCCAACTCAACTCCTGTGGTCTTCTTGGCCTTTTTTTTGTTTTAAGCACAGAGCCATGCCATGATTGCCATAAGGTTGTAGAGGTCCTTTAGAACCTATAGTGACCTACAGTATTCCTCTCCTCTACATTACTCAGGCAATTGTTTCCTAAGTGGTTGGCTGGTGTAATTAGTGCTTTTTGCCAGGCCTCATCCTTGAGGGAGAGATATTGTTTCATTTCCCACAAGGCCCTTGCCTCAGGCTGCCCAGGACAAAAGGGATCCCAAGAGATAGCAGCTACAGCAATCATACCCTGCAAGGGGTCACAGGCTGTGTTTAAACTTTAGTCCCAGGAGCAGTATTGTAGGTCTGTTGATTGTGCCTGGCATCCCTCTCCTTGGGTCCTGCACTGCCAGCCTGAGGGTAAAGCATAGCTGAAGAGCACTGGGCTGGCAGCCTTACTCCAGGAGTCTGTTGTCTCTTATGATCGGGCAGGTAAGCGAGTGCCATTCACGCCATTCTCTCCTTGTGTGCAGGGACAGCACACCATTGCTTAGGGCGAGTGAGCTTCAACACAACACATGCCCAATATCTGCTAAGTGCTCCATAAAATGGTGACCAAGCTGAGGTGGAGGTAGTCTCTGAGGAAACCCCCTCCGAGGTCTAAAACCTCAGAAATTTGTACAAGTGGACTCCCTTTCTGCTTTTGGAAATAGAGAAACCTGAAGGCTAGAAGTGACTTGTCCTGGATGCCATGGCTGAAGCAGCTGTCTCCTAGGCCTGAGGACACAAACTGGATTCTAATGGAAGTCAAGACTGCCCAGGCGGAAAACTGTGGGTGTAAACTGGCTGTGCCAATTAGAGGAGGTAGGTAGGCCTCAGCACCCCCAACAGGAGACCCGGGTTGTCAGGACAGCACTTTTATCAGCTCCCTGTACTCCTAAAACCCCCCCTCACACACATGCTGGCCATTATGGCCTTCAAGGGACCTGCCCGTCTCTAAAGGCCCAAATGTTGCAACTCTCAGCCCAATTACAAGCTTTCCCCATTACTCTGTCTTTGAACAAAGGAAAGGTCACACTTATGGGTTCAAATTGGGTTCTGTTACCAACTGCCTATGAGACCTCTGTGAATTTCTTAGCCCCAACTAGCCTTACAATCTTCATTTATAAAGTGGAAACTTGAACACCTACTATGTGCCATCATGCTGGCAACAGCAGGGAAACTCTAGAAAAACACTTCTGACTTTGGGATCTTGCATCCTAGTGGGAAGAAACTGCTGACAGACAACTTACAGAGCATATCCAATAGCATTAGCATTATAGAGAAAAAAAACAGAAAAGGGAGGCATGGAGTAAGAGAGCTAAATGCAAACTGGATGGTCAGGCCAGATCACAAATGACAAGGTGAAATATGAATGGAGTCCTAAAGGAAAGAGTTCCTGAGGCAGCAGGAGCAACAGTGCAAAGACCCCAAGTCTCAGAGGAGATGAGAGCAGAATCTACCTAAAAGGGTTGTTCTGAGAATTAAAAGAAATGGTACTTGTGAAACATAGCACAAAGCCTAGAGTGTCTGGAATCTGGCATAGGCTGGGTGAGTGGAGAGGTGACAAACACTAGTCAATGGGAACAGAATACAATCATTGGGGGCTGGGGAGGGGAGTCCAAGGAAGGAGGGCCATGGAGACAGATGGACAGATAAACATAAGTAGACTCATACCCAAAACCTATATTAAGGAAGACGTGTAGGAGAAAGCAGAATTGAGAACACAGCCAAAGACGCTTGCAGAGGAAGATCTGTGGAGTCGGGTGAGGGGCTGAGCCTCCTGGTGAAGCCAGATCTTAGTACCCAGGCAGTGCTGGATATGGAGTGGGATGCCCTGGGGTTAAAAGGAAGGAAGTAATAGGGCCTGCCAAGAAAGGCAGCTCCAAGCATCTCCTGGCTCCTAAGTGAGACATACATGAGGCTCTATCCTAGCTGAGGGTCAGTCCCGCTTTCTCTTTCTATCAAACCTGGCTGTGAGCCAGCAAATAGTGCCGACCTTCACCTGTGTTCACCCTTGCTGGATTGGCTTCACTGGCTTGCCCAGAAACTGTGAGTCCTCA